GGCCAGAAAGCCTGGGCCCTGGGCCAGTGGGTCCACTGCAGGTCTCAGGCCCCCTGTAGGAGGCCTGGGCCGGGAGCTGGTCCTGTGTGGTGGCAAGGGTCTCTGTGCCTGGTATGGTGACACCATCCAGCTTGAGGAGCCAGGTTTCTCCAGTTCTGTTCCCTTCCCAACTAGTGCCCCAGAACGAATCTGGCCTGTGTCCTGTGACCCTGGGGCGACTATACCCGTCACCAAGCCCCCTCTGCCCCAGGCCTGCAGCTCCTGGGGGCCAGAATGGCTCTGTGTGCCTGGGCCTGGGGGGCATGGGGACATGAGGCTGCACGCAGCGGCCTGAGGGCTCTTGCCCTGGGGAGCAGCCCTGGACACGCTCACTGGAAGCCGGGGCTCTACCGTAGGGTTCCTGGGGCTTACGCTGGAATGTGCCTCAGGAGTATATTGGGAGGCAGGGAGTGTGGCCTGCAGTGGGGTCAGGGATGAGTGGCGCCGATGGATGGCCCCCAGGCTGGAGTGGGCTGGCCCAGGTCCACAGGCACCTGCCGCCTCGAGGGACAGGAGGTACGGGGTCCGCTGAGGCAGCTGGCTACGGGAGAACCTACAGACAGTGGAGGCCAGGGTGACTCCCCATCTGGTGACAGTGACCCCACACAACTGTGGGGCAGCGTGTCCTGCCACAGTGGGGACTGCGGGCCCCTAGGACTGTGTCTGCTTGCTGCATCACCCAGCCAGAGCCCTCAGTGGGAGAACGCAGGCACAGCACTGCTCTGGCCTTGGCAGGGGCTTTGTGTTGGAGGCTGGTGGTCCCCCTGGGTGGAACCTGGGACATCCGCCCTGTCACAGCCAGCAGCCAAGATAATGGGAACCTCTGGGCCCACTGACACTGACACTGGGGCCCATTTCCTTCCCCTAAATTATTCATGACCTCCAAGAGGCCGTAAACATCCTGGGCTCTCTATGGGAGCTGTAATTACAATGATAAATTTTATTTATAAAGTCAGTGCCCCCACGAGCCAGCTGCCTAGGGGGCTGTACATAAGCCATAACTGAGCCGGGCTGCCCAAAGCTGCCATGACAGCTGTTTTTCTGGTGGGGACTAGGAGGGGGATGGCATGAGCAGGAGGCCCTGGGCCAGGCTTTGAACAGAGGCCAGCGCTGTGGGCTGTGGTTGACTCAGAGCCTGCAAGCCGCCCACCAGGCTCCTGGTTGCTGCTCACCCCCGTCTGGCCCCTGGGCCCCACTGTCCAGTGTGGCTCTGTCTAGCCAGGCTGAGTGTCCACACAGCTCACTCATCAGTCACTGAGACGCCCTTGCATGCTCCTCTTGAGCCACCAAGCCCAAGACGGCGCCACCTGCGACAGGCATGGGGCCGCTAGGACCACTAGGTCTCTCAGTAGGCCTGGTGCCCCCTGCTCAGAGCCCTGTGCCTGCACCTGCTGACTTGCACTGCTGTGGGCTTCTGGGGCCAGTGTCACAGTGCCTCCCCTGGGAATCTTGGCCAGTGTTGACATGGCAGGTGGGCAAGCAGGGTGCCATCATAGCAGCCCAGGACTGGATGTCCACTCCCCTTGTTGTCCCAGAGCTTCTGTTTTGGGGGGCTGCTTCCCAGTACTGACTGTGCCCCTGGGGGTGGCAGGGCTCTCCTGGCCATCACAGGTGCTGGAACTTCCTGAGCTGCAAGCCTGGCAGGCAGTCTGCCTCTGGGACCCAGGGAAGCAGACGTAGGGTGTGGACATGGCCAGAGCCGTTGAGAAGCCAGGCTTGGAATGTGCCTTGCCATCTGGGACCCAGCACTGTTTGGGTCCCAGTGAGAGCCTCTGAGGGCAGGGCTAAAGGGACCAAGAGCACATTGGCCAACCCCCAGGGAGACCCAGTGACCGTCAGACCCAGCCTGGCCTCTTCCTGGGCCTGGCACAGGCTACCTGGCCCACACCAGCCCATCTCAGCCCAGAGCAGTGGCAAGGCTCTGACCCCTCACAACCAGCAGAGGGTGTCCATTGGCCAATCAGGGCCGCCCCAGGACCAGAAGGACACAGGGTGTCCTGGGGATAGTGGTGGACAATAGTGGCCGTGAGGGGACTAGGACTCCACAGCCCCTGTGTTGGCAGTGTGTCCCACTCAGTGCTCTCAGAGGACAGCTGCACACCATGCCGCCTGCTGTACCCACACTCTTTCAGTCCCACCTGGTTCCCCATGTTCCCACCTGCCACCACCTGGTTCTGCACAAGCCCTGTGGCTGCATGGCATCTCAGGCAGCCTGGGTAGGACGGGCGGGCATGGGTCTGCCGTGTGGAACCATGCCTTCCCTCCCCGCCAATCCCAGGCTGGGGCTGTCAGGTACCTGGGCCTCACAGGCCAGAAGACAGTGGCTGGTCACATGAGCAGGTGGCCCCTGGTCACCAAGACCCTCAGATGCCCCCACGCACTGACAGCTGACCTACTGGCCTGGGTCACATCACGTATGAAACCAGGCTGACTCACTGGTCTCACCAGG